CCATTGACATTTATGTAAATGAAGGAAACTTTGACTTTGTCCGACTGCAGACGTATCTTCTGCAGTTACCTGCGATGCCTTCTGTGTAGCAGAGAAAACAAGGTTAGGGAAGGGAATGGAGTACATTTATAATTCACATTTGATACGGTTAATGCATTCAGACCTTTTCCGGTGGGAGAATACATTAGGAGAGTGAACGGATATAGGAAGCTATAGTAGACTGTCATTAGGGCTTTCCTCATCATGGTATTTATAGGCCTCTTTTACATTCTCATGGTTAGTGGATGGAGCGGGATCCTAGAGCTGGAGCCACTTACTGAAGCGAAAGTCTTACTACTGCACTGTGCCTCCATACACCTACTCTACCCCTGCTCGCCATTAACCAGCTGTCTGCTAGCTGTTTGTCTGGAGGTGTGTCTGCTTGCCTGCATGCTACCACTCATGCTAACTGTGTCTTAGCAGCCTGCGGAGGCTAGAAATGAGCTTGTTCACATCATAACGTGTGTGGTTTTTGATTCCTGCAGTCAGTGTGCCGTATCAAGGCCAACAGTTATTCTTGGTAAATTTTGACAGACACTGGCACATTATCTTGTGAAACGCTTGTTTTCAAGGAGCCTTCGTGAGCCAAGTAGCCATGGTAACTGCTGAAAACTTTCTCATGTTTGTAGTTTACACAAGAGGGCCTGAACTCTAGCTTGTTAACGCTGCTTAAGCACACTCAGATGTGATGTTTACTGGGGGTCCCAATAATCTGGGCTGTAATTTGTTAATGGACTCAGGCAGACTAGAAAGAGGAGTGTAAAAGCTTGCAGTTTTATCAGCAGATGGTTTTCGGTGCAGATAGATAGATGGCCAGTTTCCTGCTTTTCTTCCTGACTCTCTGGACACAGAAACCAGCTCCCTGCTGTTGTTGGCAACTGTCTCCAGGAAGTGTCTCCCCTCTGCTCCGCACTGCTCGCTTTTCTGCTGCGTGTAAACAAGCTCTTTTATTCATTGTCTGGGCCGGGAGGGAGGAGGCGGGGTGGAGGAGGGGGAGGTGTGGGGAGGTGGTGGTGGGGATCAGCTATATGAGAGCAGAGTAGGTGATAGTCTGGAGTATTTTGTCAGGAGATTCGCTGGGCAAAGGCCGTGGGTTGCAGAGCCCAGATTTTGAACTGAGGGATCCTGGCTGATGGGTAACTGCCGGGGAACCTCCGGGATTCAACACGCGTCCTCCAGCGCTTTTTTTCCCTTCCCCTGTCCCTCAAGGGACTCCATCCCTTGGTTCTATGATTTCATCATATATTTCTTCCACTCGTCTCCCTTATTTCTGTCTCTTGTGCTCTGTCTCGTGTCGTCGCCGGCGGTTGGGTCCGTTGAGTTCTGCAGAGGTATTGGCTGCAATTTTTTCGTTTTGCCCTTGTTCATAGTAGGCTTACCTTTCTGGAGTCGCAGCCACGCCGTGATTCTGTCCATATATAAAAACCTAGGTTATCCTTAACCAGGGATGGTGGTCAGCGAAGTATATATTTGGGGATAACAGGGCGCTTTAGTCTAGACTTGGTGTGTGAGCACGATTGGACTATATACTAGCCGACCTACTCTCCCCGTACCTCCCCACTAGTTTCTGCTGGTGCTGGCTGGCAGAAGTGCAGCTCAATAAGTCCCCCGTGAGTGTCAATTCCGTTGTTGCTAATCCCTTTGAACTTCTGACATACAACCCTCTCATGACTATGCAAGGTCTTCTGGAAAAGCGCATGTTCATCTGATTTTGTACTTTCAGCAGAGCGCGATTTCTTTACACACGTGAGGGTGCAATTCGAGAGTCGACATAGTAGTCTCTTTCGTGGCTGCCAGGGTCTAGTCTTCGCCAAGAGGGTTTGGTTTTCTAATAGTTATCGCAAAACTAATAATAATTTCAGCAGCTCATGGGCGGGTTTGACTGAGGTATTGTAAATCAAAGTGGGTTTTTTTGCCATATTACATGCTTGTTCACCTGCAACAATCCCCGCGGACAAAAAAAAACACACCAAAACAAACAAACAACAAACAAACCCCCGACCCCCCACCCCCCCAACCCCCGCCCCCCCCCCCCCCGCACACC